CTCAACTAAGAAAAACTTTCCCAAACTCATTGGCTATGGTGATATTTATAATGAGACAAACATTTAAGATGACGATTAAGTAAAGAAGAATGTTGACAGATTATTTTAAACCATTTACGTGAAGGATTACTTTATGGCCATAATTTATTTTTAAACTGAAGTTTACAGATTAACCAAAGTTAACTTTCATCCAGTGTCTATTCTACTAATAATACATCAGTTTGAAATTATTGCAACAAAATGTATTCAAATGTATAAATTTTTTATTACTGTATATACTTCTGCATAAGCCAACTTCATGTATAGTGTGACTCCTGAATATTTTGCTTGAATTTTAATGCAACCAGAAAAAAAAATTTACCTGCTTAAATCATGTATTTACTAAAAATACATTATTTTTAACCTCTACAAAAAATTACGACCCCATATTTTTTGTGTAAAAAATTATCATAAGAACTTGCACTATATTTGAGTATATACAGTATATACAGTATATACCTTCCTCTTTGAAATGGCATTGGTTGTTGCATTCTCCCGCTGCCTTTAGGTGGTCTGTTGTGGTAACCTCTGAATCTGTGAGGGAAGATTGTTTTCTTTCCACTTTCCATACTTCAGGGACATTTCATATTCCCCATTGTATTGCATGTCTGTTTCTTCCAATGAGTATATAACTTTTCAGCACTACCAAAACCAACTTTTTAATTGACTGGGCCATGTGTTCAGTCTATTGGTGTAATTTTGGGGCGTTAAGTCTAATGTCTGTTCTCAGGTGTATGGGTATCCAGACTCTGGTGGTGAAAGTGTAATGATTTTCTAAGCACAGCTTAGATGTGGCACAAGGCTGATCAAACACACTACTCAATCAAAATTGATCTAGCAAGATAAACTTTCTAACCATTACACCACGGCAAGGTGTCCCTGGTAGTGAAAGTGTATGGGTGTCTGGACTCTGGTAGCAGAACTGTATGGGTGTCTGGATTTAGGTGGCTGAACAGTTTGTGTGTGTATATATATATATATATATATATATATATATATATATATTATTTCTGTGTTTCCTTGTTTATATAAATGTTTTTAAATAATATTCAACCATTAAAAAAAAAAAAAATTAAGACAATAAAGAAAATGTATTTCTTTAAGGCACTTGTTGTAAAGCTTGTGCCAAAAAGTTTATTTTTAATAATAAAGTAAGCTAAAAAGAATGTCAAGTGATGAACAAAATGAATAACAAATAAAAAAAATATATTTAATTTTTTTTCTCCCTTGTTGGATAAAGGCTCCTTTCTGTCGTGATTGCTTGGCATAACTTCAAGTAGAAAAACAACTACTGCCAATAATTGGATAAAGGTCGCTTCATTGGTTCATGATACCAACATGTTTGAAAGATGAAAATTGTAAAGGTGGGGAAAAGATAAAAAGTTTAAGTTAAGAAGGAAAAGATGAATAGTGTGTTTGTGTGGGGAGAACAGTGAGTAAAGTGATGGGAAGGAAGAAAACATTGTGAGTAAAATGGTGGGAAAAAGAATAAATAAAGTAGGGAAAAAGTGGGAAACATTGTGAGTAAATTGGGGAGCAGAACATTGTGAGGAAGGGGAGGAAACAGTGTGAGTAAAGTGGGAGGGAAGAAGAACAGTGAGGAGGAAGAGGTGGTAAATAGTAAAGTGGTGGGGGGAGAAGAACAGTGTGGGTAAGTGTGGGGGAATAAGAACAACTTGAGTAAAGTGGATGGAAGACTAAGAGGGGTAAAACAGACAGTGTACAGTATAGTAGGGTAGATGAACAGTGTAAAATAAAGGGGATAAGTTGAACAGTGTAAAGTGAGTGGAAGATGAATAGTGTAAGTGTTAACAGTAATCCATCAGTTTCTTTCAAGGTGTGGGTCCCAGAACTGTAAATTTATTTACATTCAGTGTGTATATGCAAGAACATACACTGGAGAAGTCAAGCTACGAGGCAATGTGATTTCTACTTCTTCAGAAGTATCATTTGATCCAATGTTTTTTGTGCCATGACACCAGGATATAGCTGATCATAGGTCTTCACAAGTTCCTTTATTTATTATTTGTGAATTGCTATGACTTCTTTGGAATGATATTGCCTTCACTATGGTTTTGAATTCTAACTTTTCCTTCTCCTTGACTGGCTACTCACTACCCAAGGCTAGAGAATCTACCTTACTATTTAACCCACAGGAGTGGGAGAAGAAATAGATTATAACTTTTCCCTGGGGCATTAGTTTGCAGTGATTACAATATAGATTGGAATTTAAATCTGTATAAGTTAGCCCTTGGAAATGCTTGTGATATTAGATTGTGTTATTAACTCTACTGGTCCTGAAGAGATATTCATTGTTAAGTCCTGAAGTCCTGATGGAATTATTGAAAAATCTGAATACGTGCTGTTACTTTATAAATTTTGTAGATTTCTGATGCTTTTTGTGAGTCATGTGATTGAAATACAGTGTTACCTGATACACCCTCCAGACTGTGTAACTTGCAGGTACCTTTGGCCACTTCTGGCCTTCGATGATTAAGCAAAATCAATAATACTGAGAATAAGAACAGTCAAATTTGTTCTAATCTTCAGTTTGGAGTTTCCTATGAGTTGAACAGGGTAAATTCCAGACTGTGTAATCACCTTATCTCGATAGAACTTGGCTGCACCAACCTTTATCAAATGACTTATAAAACTGCAACAGAGTGATATGGGTATTAGCAGTGCTGGATTTACATAGGGGGGGTAGTATGAGCTGCAACCCAGGTATCCTTAAAGGCTTCTAGTCTTGGGCTCCTGATAAAATTAAAAAGAATAAAGAAATAAGATCAGAAAAAATTAGTTTATTTTTAGATTTAATGGAGCTCTTTTCAACTAATTTGAAACAATTTAGAGTATTTGGGTCCCTCTAGTTGGAGTGGATCTTTTAAGGATCGCAAGGTTGTAACAAATCAGACTTTTTCATCTCCATCATTTTTTTTATAGGATGTTTTATTAATGAATTTGAAAACTAGAATTTCAGTATAATAGAGGCCCTTCACTCTTGATACATTTCTGTAGGATCTAAAGTTTGGATAAAAACATGAAGTTGCTAATGAAATAAATTGGATTAGTTCCAAAATTGTTAAAAATTTTAGTTGAAGTCAAATTGGCAGCTGATATGCAAAAGTATCTTCATTCTATCAAAAAAAAAATGAAAAAGGATTGAAAGTTTTGTTGGCCACCAGGAACCTCTTCTTGCTACTGTGAAATGGAGGAAAACACCAAGGCATGACAGCCTGTGCAAGTCCATCATGCAAGGCACCATTGATAGTGGATGTAGGGAAGGACGTCTACACAAAAAATAGTTGGACAATGTCAAACAATGGACAGGTATGACTATACCAAAATTGCCAATGGCTGCCATTGATAGATCATTGTGGAAGAGATTCAGTACAGCTTCTGTATTCGGATATCCCCCTCCACTCCTATGATTACAAAAGTCAAGGGGGTGATGATAATGAACATACATAATGAAGGGGTCTCTCAAGGCTTAAATCTGTCCCTGGGTATTAATCAATTTGGTGTTTTAATCATTAGTTTGAAGACTTGTGCCTCCATGCTGAGGTAGGATGAAGAAGAGTGGAGTTATTGTGATGGTTGGATTGGGAAGCTGAATTTAAAGCATTCAACATGTTCTCCTTGCCTCCAGTTCTTATCAGTTTTATCACCATTTTCCATCCTGCTAAATAACTAGAATGGTATCCAACACATTGATTTGAATGGCTACGCATTAGGTAGCAATTTGAAATCAGGAGTCGTATGAGATGAAAAGAGAGCATTCCAAATGAGTGATGGGAAAGATTGAAGGAACTAATTTAAATAGCAATTTGGACAATGGAAAATGGCACAAATTGGTTCCATTCTTTCTTCTCTGTGCTGAGTCTCTTCAAGACTCCCCACAACTTGCAATCTCTTGTAACCCTGAGCAATGTTTGTCTCTTTGCTAAGACCCAATGACATAATGTAATATTTTTATAACCTGTTTCAAAGAACATGAATGATTCAGTTTGAGTCATATAAACTCTAACGAAGACTTTTTGTTTATCATAATGGGCACTCTGTACAAGGCCCAAGAGCCATTCGAGATAGTGTTACAGAGTAAGAGGCACAGTTTATATGGATATGTGGGGAAGATAATAGTTAACCCTAGATTTGAACAGGTTAAGATTGTAGTGATCAAGGCAGCATTCTCTTAGGTGTCAGTTCTGCAAAGTAGCAGTTCATGAGAAGAAGCTGTTAGAATAGAATTTACATTGTGCCAATGGAATACGAAGGGAATGAGGTTTTCTACAAAGTGCATGACATGGTGGGTCTTAGCCGTGAGGGTTAGAACTGATGGAGCTAAGAAATGTAGTTCGTCTGAACACTTCCCATGGAAATAACCATATTGAAATGAGTGATTTGCCATGTTTCATTTGTGGGAAAGGGGCTGTAAGGTGGAAAATAGTTCATCACCCACAAGGACAAAGAGAATCTTTTAAACTCTAGAACTAAATAAAAGGGTTCATTTTGAAATAACCAGCCAGAGAGAGAATATAAAGTTAATTAAGTTATTTAGGCACAACAGTATTAGAAATCCACAAAGCATATTTAATAATGAGATCATAATTTTTTTTTTTTACTATACAAAGCTCAGATTGTAGTAGTCAGGAAAGCATCCACCTGGGATTCTGTTCTATAAAGCAACAGTTCTTGATTGATTCATTCATTTTCTATAGCCTATCAACAATTTTCAGGTTATTTAAAGCCAGAAAATATTTTTAGACTAAGAATATTTTTTGAGACAATAATGATACAAGGCTTACTAATTAACCTATAGCTGGAGGGAGAAGAGGTGGATGCATACCTTTCCCAAGAGTATTTGCATATAAGTGAATATAACAAAGCCAATGGAAATTGGAACTCAGCTCTCCAATTAACAATTCTAAACCATTATCCATTACACCACCTGCACATCCAAGATTACAACTACTGTTATTCCAAAGTGGTCACCCATCCAGGTACTGAGCAGGCTCAATGTTGCTTAACTTCACTGATCATATGGAAACCAATGTTTCAACATGATGTGGCCGTAAGCTAATAGTTCTTGGAAAGAAGCCATCTGAGTAAAACTTCCTCCTTATTAAAGCAATATGAAGGGAATGAGGGTGGTTTGCCTTAATGTATGCAATGTGGTGGGGGTCTTAGCTGGGAGGATTAAAGTTAGATTCTAATGAATTATCACTTTACTTGGATTAAAAATTTTTTTTAAAATTATTATAGTAAATTTGATCCTTGTTAGATCCTGTGTACTTGTGGTCTTGTGCCAGACTAAGTTGAGTTTAACCTAAAACTTCTCTGTTTCGTTCACTATAGAATCTGAATTGATTTGATTCTTTTGAACTGATCTGCGTGCCAGGAATAATTTTCTTTTCTTGTCTTTTGAAATCAGAAGACAAAGATGTTTTGCTATTTGCCTTATCCGAGGATGAACTGGCCAATTCAATGACTCTTTTGGATGCAGCATACACTTGATAAAGGTTGACAAGCAAATTGATTGAATTGCTGGGATAAAAAGAAAAAAAAAAGGTTCTCATCCGCCAGAGTCCTTACTGAGAAACAATGTCTTAGAAGTTTTAATGCTTTTCTGTTTATTCACAATTGTCAAATTAGTTTTGATTTGTTAATTTTGAATTGTTCTGTATTAATGCAAAAAGATTAGATAAATTTGAAGCTATTTCCTTGATTCTGAATCAGCCAACATGAACACACACACACACATAGTGAGTATGAAAGAATATCAGAAAAAGAAAAAATTAACCCTTTGAGCCTTGATCACCAGTTGAACGGTGGTAGAGAAAAATGACTTAATGCTCAGCCACCGGTTGAACGGTGGTAGAGAAAAATGACTTAATGCTCAGCCACCGGTTGAACGGTGGTAGAGAAAAATGACTTAATGCCCAACTACCAGTTGAACGGTGGGTAAACACTTGTAACTATTTTTTTAATTCTACCGTGAAACATTACATAAAATTATTTGCAAATTTTGACTGAGGAACTCAAGCAGAAGGGTTAAAATTGTTCAGAAACGCAGGGCTCAAGGAGTTAAAGAGTCAGAACAATAAGATAACAGAAATTAGGACAGCAAAAGATAATGACTGACACTGCACTTAAATTTTCGAAGATCAAAGTTGATTGGAAAGCAAAAAGCTAGAAGAGAGTTCCATGAACGAGAAGTGTAATAAAATCAACTCTTACCATAGAACTTACATCTAGCCATTTCAACAGTAAAATGATGAGATCTTGCTGCTTATCTAGTACTGTGCTTAAATTCATAATGTCTAAGTAACAATTACCATGAAAGTATTTATAGAAAAGACACAGGCAACCTCTATTATGATGGTGGGAGAGTAACTGATGTCAAGATACCATTTCAGAACCAATGACATTGCAGAATCTTCTTTGGATTTTATCAAGGATCTCTGTATAAATATATTTATTTTGTCAAAAAAAAGTTATTGCAATTAGAAATGATTATTTTTTACAAATTCAACATATTTCACAGGTATAGTTTTATTTAATGCAAAAATTACTTATCTTTTAATTTTATCTTTTTTTTCATTATGAATATTTGAACAATTTATTACAAAATAAGCCTTTGTTTGTAGCAAATAGGTGCTACTTGTAATAGATGTGGTTGAGCGCTTTCAAAAATTAATTTACATTTTCAAAAGAAATAAATTCAACGCACGGAAGATTTTGTAAATATATTTATATAAAGAACAACATAACTCACAAAAAAAAAGAGAAAATTATATTCAGTGTGTACAGATAGTTTAAAAAAAAATGAAAGGAAACTTTTATGTACTTAGTCATAGTATGTGTGTGTGATGTCCCCCAATTTGTTTGAAAGTAAGTTGTTCAGTTTGCCAGGCAACAACTGTGTATAGTGTAAGATTTTATGATCAAATTTTTATGCAAAAAAATATGAAATTGCACTATACATGGGTAATTTTTTTTTGAAGAGGTTAAAAATCATGCATTTTCAGTGACAAATTGCATTATATGCAGTTAAATTTTTTTCTTGAGTGGTTAGAATTCATGCCAAAAAATTCAGGGGTCACATAATATGTGAAGTTAGCTTAGACACGATAAGTCTTTGCAGATGAGAAGACTGAACTTCTCTGCTACCTTACATCATATCCTCTTTCTAAGTGAGCAAAAACTGGACGAACGAGTAAGTCATTTCCATTTATATTTCTAAATAAAACAACCCCTGGTAGACAAGTTGGGGTAATTCCTACATGTTCAAAAATCAGGTGACACTTCATTTCTGCTTATTTGGGACTATTAGTACAAGTTAAGCTAAATTAAAATTTTAAATGTAATTGGAGTTTGGCCAATTACAGCATAGTTTCCCTTATTTATTTAATGTGCCATGTCCTTTCAGAACATAAGTCATGGCTCTTCACAACTTTGATTTTTTTTATTGCTCTAATTAAGTTTTGGCCTTTTATCATCAACTTTTGTCCTTATTTTGGCTTCCATTCCCACATACATGCAAAGTGGAACCCCCTTCCTCTTACTTGCTTCCCTGATAACTATAATCTTCAAAAATTTAAATATAATATCAAATGACATCTTCTGATGCCTTGATCTTGATCTCCGTCCTTCTCTGTATCTTTTCCTCAAACACCCCCTATTTAATCTTTGTAGCTCCTTGTGTGTTAGTGGCTCTCCCACCTTGCTTGGGGGGGAAATGCTTAAAAAAGAAAAAAAAAAAGTATGGTTATGTGCTGTTTTTCTCTGCTTCTCTTGTTATTCAGTCTGTCTTGTGAATATTTAATTCTCTAAGCCCCCTTTTCTTATTGTGTGTCCATGGAATTTCTAATTCAGTCTCCATGTAGTTTCTATTTTCTTTAAAACTTCCTCATTGCTCACACGTTCTGTCCATGGTATTCTCAGCATTCAACAGTAGTATCATCACTTCAAGTAACTTGTTCAACTTTTACTGCTATACAGGAGATTAGATATTAGATAACAGTTCAGTACTATTTTCTTTATTTCTAAGAACATTTTCTTATCTCTTAATACTTTGCTTGGTTTCTGGAAGACAACTTTTTGCTATTTCTGTGTGCCTTCAGATTTTTGTATCACATTTTCTATCATCTGTTATGACACAATCCAGAGTGTTAGATTTCTGCACCTGCTTTTTTTATGTTTGCAATCCATAGCTCACACCTGTGGACTGTATCATGTATTCTGTGTTCTTATAGTTAATAAGTAGTCTTTTATTCTTGCTTTCCCTTTCTCAACACTCTTTCAATTTACCTTCTGAGTTTGCCATCAAAACAGTGTTATCCATATATCTTATACTGTTAAGATTACGTTCATAATCATAATATAATTCTGCTTGTTCCTCCCATAGTAAGTTAGCGTCTGTGTTACACTCTGCCATTACCTTAGATAAATAATGGACTATTTTCTTTTGATTGCGGGGCAAAAAAAAAAGATATATCAAAGATGTTGTTTGATTTAGTAAGAAAAAGTAAGCATGCATAATGTTGTAGAATACCTACAGATGATAATGGATATGTCCCCATTCACATAAATACAGTAGTATATACTGTATGTTGGTCTGCAGTTGGAGATTCATTGTGGAATTCACTTGACTCACTTCTAGCAGTTTACTTCTTCTTCTACGCACTGCTGGAGAATCTTATATGTATTGTTCTTGTCCCAAGTATTATCATTCATTACCAACCTTCATTTGATTATTCTATTCAATAACCTTCCCTAGGTTACAACACATAACAAGAAAGAAAAAAACGGAAGATCGTGAGGCAATAGTACTCCTATGATATTTAAGGTCTGCTTCAGTGAAATGAACACCTTGCACATTTTGAATCATTTCATTTGTACCCCCTTACTTCTTTAAATAATGACCTGCATTCATACTTATGATTATTATTGCAATGTTTTGTTAAAGTTGTTAAGCTCAAATATTTAACGAAGCAAAAAAGAAAATTCCACAGGTATTGTATAGTTGTGGAACTTGAATGGAGTTTATTCAATCATTCACTTAAAAATTATCATCAGAAAATTAAAATAAGAAAATTGTTAAATTTTCATAGATAATAAGTTCTGTAAATAGGAAGTGACTTTACATTGAGTTCTATAGCAGCCTTTAGTGGCTTTTAAGTGATTATGAATAAAATTTGTGTAAGCATTTAAATAACACCAGTTCAAAGATACCATATATACTTGCAGATTTAAAACCACCCCCCCCCATATATGTGTATAGGTCACACCCGTACTTTATGGCTTAATAATGGATGATTTACTGTTGAATCACAGATAGGTCACACTATAATCTGGGGAGTTACACAGCCCTTTTTAAATGTAAGAATTATCAGATATCTACTTTTATTTCAAAACTTACAATTATTAATACACTTTTGCAGATCATTTTCCATGTTCTTCTGCATAATTTATCACTTTTAATTTAAAACCTGCTTCATAACTCTTTCTTTTGATTAGGGTTTGCAACAATTAAAATTATAAACTATAAATTTGGCTACCAACTATATTGCTGCGCAATGCAAAATAGTGCAAACATTTTGGGTACTAGATTCATGTGCTTTATTTATAAATAACACTTTTTCATGTTATATGAAACAACTATTAAAGAAAAAATTATCTCATAAAGAATATATTTCACTTCTTTAAGTCATATTTTCCAATGTATTTTTGACAAAATATATTTTGCAGAATGAATTGTGGGACTATTTTTTCTTTGTCAATAAACATCTACATGTGGTTCCTTAACTTATATATGCATGATCAGAGTTTCTATATCAGTCTAGAGTGCAAAGGCCTTGACTGAATGGTGACTGATGGATCAATGAATATTTTATAACTTTATTTATTGTGATGGATATGTGAATCTAGCAGCAGTGAGTATATATGATAGATAAATTGGGTATCATTTCCGATTTCTCAGAAATCATGATGACAAGGTAGCGTTGTTTTATATTTATGCCGAGCAGATAGGTTGCACCCCTAATATTTTGTGAAATTTTTGATAAAAAAAATG